TATATATATATATATATATATATATATATATATATATATATATATATATATATATATATATATATATAATAAATGCATTTAACTAGCAACGTTAGGAGTTAATAAATGCAGCCCACAATTTTATTTGTTGGTGATGCAGTTTAAGAGTTAATAATAATAATATTAATAATAATAATAATAATAATAATAGTAATAATTGTAATGATTATTATTATTATTATTAATAATAATAATAATCAGTCGTCATAGGCCTATTTACTACTACTAATACTGTTGTTGTCATGATCATTAATGAAATCTAAGGCGTGTGCACTAATCTTTACAAAGGGATAACGCGCCGACGTGACATTAAACGCTTTCAAATAAACACGCAAGGTAGCCTAATTTATCTCTAATAGGTTGTGAAAATACGTACTGAAATAAGACAAATGACACTACAAACCAGTCAACTTTTATACTTCACAAGTCTGAATAAATAACAAATGAATAAAGAACGAATAAATAAAGAAACATTTTGAAATAACCCATGCACAATTTGGCTTCAATGTTTACTATATTTTATGAATCTAAACGACACTGTTGCAAAATGTGTGGCAACACTGTTGTTACAATAGCCTATATTTTAGATTTTTTCCCTTTAAGCTGAATTGCATTTGATTTGTAAGCTATTAATTTTATCAACAGTAGCCTAGTAATAAATGTTACAAATAAAGAAAAGTTCTACGCAGAATTACAGTGTCTAATTGTTTCTGCGCCCCCATTCAAAGGTTTGCACCTGCTTTCTGCGCTTTTATTCAAGCGGACATGGATCGACTTCAAAGTCATGTCAGTCCGAAAGTCGCAAATTCCGCTTGGGGGAAAGAAGGGAGGGGGGCAAATAAAAAGCCGCCGAGCTAATTGAACATCCGAGGTCGCATTTATACATAATAAACGCGTCCTGTGAACAATAGCAACATACAGTTCCTTGATTTCGACATATTTAAATCGAGCAGAAAAGTTTACAAAGGCGGAGGAGCTCAACAAAAGGGCTCTATTTACAGATGGAGACACGGGGGGTGGGAGGAGGAGCGGAGGGCCACTGAATTAATGAATTAAATAGTGCTGAGGCGCTGAAAGTACGTATTTACGTCAACAATGAAAGCCAGGACTGAGACGAGAGGAGGCAGTTTTCAGATAGAGCTGCTAACAAAAAGTTCTTGAGAAGTTCCACTTATAGGACAAGCCAGATAGAAAGAGAGCCAGAAGGAGGAGGAGAGAGACAGAGAGAGATATAGAGGACGACATTACATAATAAATCGGTAACATTCGACCGGCACTGACTGACACTTATGCTAACTTATTATTAGGGTCGAATCGATTTATACTGTATATAAGTTTAACTTAAAGTTAGTCTAAATACTTTAATACACATCCAAATGCAAATGGTGTTATTAGTTGTGTGATATTTGTTTGTTTGAATGACAAACAAGTGTAGAATTATGAGACCTCCGCGGCTAGTCGTTCTTTTGGCGCGAATTATGTTGACAGGAACGCGCGTGTGTATATTGTGAATTTTCGCCTCAGATTATTATTCCCTGATGTTTCCTGACACTGGAAATCAGGAGTGACTTGTACATCACACATAGAGAGCTCTGCATTGCAAGTCCTCAGTTAAAGGTAAGTGCTAAAGTAAAAACTAAGTTTTAAAATAGATGCTAAAGTCACTTATTGTGAGGCCTATTTGGAATATGTGTGCTGATATTGTGTCATAAAGATGTAAATGATCTCAAATCAGTGCATTAATTACTGTTTTTTATGCTTAAATAATGCAACAGTTCACCATGGAACAGGTGCAATCAAACAAGATGTAGATGACACATGTAAAAACATCATATTTTGTAGACAATACGGTAAAATTATATGCTTAAAAGTCAGTGGTGAATGTTGAGTTGTTCTGATGTGTAGCTGACTGGTTGCTTAAATGGCTTATTGCTTGTATTACAATACAGATTAAGTTAATTGTAAAGTTAATTTTTGTACTTTCATTGTATTACTTTGATAAAGAATTGAACTTTAATGTATGTTTTCATGCATAACAAAAATATCTTATGTTCATTACTAAGGAATATTTGATTGACATCCACATATTATGGTTTGATATTGGTTGTTTTGCATTGGTTTTGTCTTATAAGATGGATTTGTCTGCAGTTAAAACACTTTTTAGACATCCTTTATTACTGAAGCAGCTGATGAAGTGTAAACTTTGTGTTTTTTTAAAGCACTGTAATTAGATGAAGTTATAGTTTGCTCTTTGTTGGGTCAAATATGGATAAACCCCCAACATTAAACTGAAATTAAATGACACACATGGGTATATAAATCCATATTTGACCCAACGTTGAGTTATGCAAACACAGAAATATCCAGAATGCAGCTGCATAAATTACTGTCATTTACGAGCTTTAGAAAAACAACATTTACTGATGTGGAGATATAAAAGGGGAGGCTTTATCCGCCACTATCAAATCAATTCATAGACTGACTGAAAGGCAGCATCGTGTGGGTTTTCTTTTTCTTTTTTTCCCCTTGCTTTCAGCTGATCTGATATGCTCCCCATGGCTCTTTTCTGGCAAACATCTGAACTGGCAGAAGTTTTTGGATTTCCTCTTTGGGCTTTTCCTTCCCTTTTTTCCACCTCATTCATTTCAACCTTATCATTTTGGACATTTAATCCGAGCTCTTCAATGAAATAAATGCACTTCGCAGACCAGACTGCAGCCTTTAACCACAAATGTCGATCTCTTAAGTGACTCTGCACTGGATTGAATGAAAAAAGTGCATAGGATCATGCTGAATAGAGCAAAGCAAAACTTTGCACAGCCTCAGAATACTGATGAGAGTTTTAATATCCAGTTTGTTTTCTGTCCATCTCTCGATGTCATTCTTTCCTCTCTCTCTCACACACACTTGCAGTGTTGTTTTTCAATGGTGGCTTTTGTCTCTTTCATCTCATCTCCAAACAAAAGGATTCTTGTGTGTACAGGACAGAGAGCGAGAAAGCAGGGGAACGAGTGAGGACAGAAAGTGAGAGGAAGAGTGAAAAAAAAAACGATGACAATTTGTAAACCCCACAGTGAAACAACATGGCCTCTTTAAGTGTCGTTGCTGTGTACAATTACAATACGAGTTAACAGTCTGCACACAGCTCGCTATTTGCTTTTGAAACGACAACAAAAATTGGTGCATAAACAGTTTTCATTCTGATATAGCTAATGTGTTGTTGCATTGTCAAAAACAGTACTTCAAAGCTTCTTGCAAAGCAGTGCAATAGTAAAACAACTAATAATTAAGCAAGTCGACAGTCTGAACACACCTCATTATTCTATGCTGTTAATTTCACTCCAAATACACAGTAGTTAATGAATTGTTTTTATTGTCAGATTTACTCAAACATTACTTAAAATGTCAATGCAATGCAATAGTAAAACAACTATTAATTAACCATGTCATTAATCTGCACACACCTAATTATCTCTTGCAGTTTTCACTCCAAATATAAATGCACTATTTAAATAGTCAAACTTACTTCAACAGTCTTTAAGAAATCCCATTGTAAGAAATACATTGTAAGAATAGTAATAGTCATAATTTTTTTAGTAGCTCATGGTCAACTTCATTAGTAGTTTATGAGATATTAGTATATAATAATTAATAAAGTAAAAAGTATATATATATATATATATATATATATATATATATATATATATATATATATATATATATATATATATATATATATA